CAGGTTAGATGTGCTGCAAAAGATTTTGCTGTAAAGGAGGGTATTCAGAAGGTTGCTTCAGAGCCACGTGCCTGTAAATGTCATTGCACTTGGATTTTAAGCATTGATGTTGATTTCCTGTATTCTGTGTATATTTTAAGAACTCTTGTGGGAAATGAAAAAGCTTTATAGAGGTGCATGTTACCTTTAAAAGCAAGTTCATTACAGATTTGTGACTACCTATGGAACTGTGCCAAGAAGGGGGATATAGTGACTGATTTTGACTAAGATTTATTCCTAAACTGTTTTCCCATGGTAGTTGAATAGGGGAGTTTGAGCAATGATGAAATGCGTATGAATGGAAGTCATGGTTTTCACTTAAAGACATTGTAGCAGATCTTGCAAGACCAGGTACATTGGTGCTAAGCAGCTTTAAATTTAACATAATGCCTTATGTGCTGTTGTATATAAACACTGCCTAATACTGCTTGGTAGCTTCAGCTGGTTGAGCTCCAACATCATCAGAGATAAATATTTAAGAATGCCGCTGTGTAACATTACTTTCGCAGGGTGGCTGTTGTGTTTCCTTCCAGAAAAGGCTTGGATATGTGATTCTTCCCTCCCGTACTTCTCACTCATATGGAAATTTGTGAGTGGACACACATCCCATCTCTGAGGGAAGGGTCCCTGTTTAAATCCAGTGAATCTTCACTGATGTCAGATCACTCTCCGATGATTTTACTTTGAGAAAAGGGGAAAAATGGCCCATTCAGCTCTTTGTAGCTTATGAGGAACTGCTGCTATGAGTGCTTTTCTCTCAAATGCTGCTCAGTGCATTAGGGATCAATTTGGCCACTGTAAGGCATATGATGTCACCTTTTAATTATCTTTTAAATTCTGTGTGTATCACAGAAATGTAGAAAAAAATGGGAAAGCTACAGGGTTAAAAAGCCTGCACTCTCTGGAAGCTGAAATATTTCCATTTCTCTGCTCATTCCTTGTCTGCCCTTATTCTTGTCTTAAATAATTCACTAAAAGCCAGCTCCAGATTTCTTCCTTCTTAGCCATGCTGACTGATAGATGTGGTTTTCCCTAACCACTGCATTATTCTAAGATAAAACTGAGTTGCCTCATTTAACCCCTGTGAAGGAAAAATGTGTATAATGCAACAGAGCCTAAGTGTGATCTAGAGATGTGCAAAGAAACTTGGTAGCCTGGAAGACAGTGACCTTTAATGAAAGGACAAACACTGTTAGACTGTGAGTGTTGGAGGCTGCTTGGATGTGATCCAGTCATCTGCAAGGACAGTTTAGATTTAGAAGCAGTTTTTGGAGAGAAGCTAGGCTTCAGTTGTTTTCTCTCTCTCTCTTTTTTTTTTTTTGTGACCTTTAATGAAAGGACAAACACTGTTAGACTGTGAGTGTTGGAGGCTGCTTGGATGTGATCCAGTCATCTGCAAGGACAGTTTAGATTTAGAAGCAGTTTTTGGAGAGAAGCTAGGCTTCAGTTGTTTTCTCTCTCTCTCTTTTTTTTTTTTTAAACTTTTTTTTTTTTTTCTTTTAAGCCAAAATCACTCTTTTGGACATTCTTGTCCAATGCTCCTCTCGCCTCATCTTACAGTTTTGCAAAGACTGGGAATCCCTGACTTCTACTGATTGTCTGAACTTCCTTTCCCATTAGAAAAGCTTTCTTGGTTTGTTTATTTATTTTTTGATTTTGGCTATTCTTACCTGAAGTTGGAAACAGGGTTTAGGTTTAAGATGAACCCAGGAGAGAGCTGTGGATATACATACTTTTTGGAGATGTCTGTCTTCTAGTAACCTTTCCGATTTTCTTGTGGGGTGAAGCTGGTCTGGCCAGAGGAATTCTGGAGCCACAAGAGTTGCAGTAGAAAGGACAGCACTGAATGTATTATTTATTATGTGTAATGTGACTGCATCTTGGAGTCTACAGCCCCGTGTAGGCAAGATACCATGCAAATGCAGAAGAAAAAGATGGTCCCTTCCCTTGGGAGTTTACACTCCAGAAGCAATTTGAGTTATTTTGACCACTCTGTAAATACACCCATTTCACTCCAAGTCCCTAATTTGCCTTGTTTTCTTACCAAAGGGTTGTTCTTGAAACAAGTGCCGAACTCCCTGGTAGGAAGCTGTTACCCAGGTGCTTTTACATCTCAGTGATTTAACTTGGTGCTCTGTCCAAAATGAAAGTGATTCCTTCTCTAGATGGTGAGACAGACACAGATAAAGGCTGGGGTTTGGCTCAACTATTTCTGGCTGCCAAAAAGACAGGTGTCTAGTCTAAGCTAATTACCGAGGCTTCCTTTATAGTTGTGGAGAGCAACAGGCACCTCCAAGAGGTGCTTTGTCCTTCTCATGTCTTGGCTCTCTGTCTTGGCTTGCCTTGTCTGCTGAAGATGCCCCTCCCAGAGCCCTGGTGGGTGTCGTGAAGCAAACCCTTGCTTGGGTGGCCAGCATGGGGTGCCGTGTGCCCAGTGCTGTGCAGGGCTTCTTAGCCATGCTGACTGATAGATGTGGTTTTCCCTAACCACTGCATTATTCTAAGATAAAACTGAGTTGCCTCATTTAACCCCTGTGAAGGAAAAATGTGTATAATGCAACAGAGCCTAAGTGTGATCTAGAGATGTGCAAAGAAACTTGGTAGCCTGGAAGACAGTGACCTTTAATGAAAGGACAAACACTGTTAGACTGTGAGTGTTGGAGGCTGCTTGGATGTGATCCAGTCATCTGCAAGGACAGTTTAGATTTAGAAGCAGTTTTTGGAGAGAAGCTAGGCTTCAGTTGTTTTCTCTCTCTCTCTTTTTTTTTTTTTAAACTTTTTTTTTTTATTCATTTAAGCCTAAATGACTCTGTTGTGCATCTCTGCCCAGATTGTGCTTTCTGTGTCTGTCTGAATTCTCCTACTGCCTTTTGTATTAAGAGCCTTGTGTCTGATGAAGCTATTTGGGTGGGTGAGGCAGAAAGTGCTTCCCTTATGCTGTTCCCCAGAGGAATCACAGGTGTTAGAGGAAATAGGATTGGAGGGATTTCAGGAACCGGCTAGTCTAGCCGTTGCCTAGGACAGCATCCACTGCAGGACATTCTTGTCCAATGCTCCTCTCGCCTCATCTTACAGTTTTGCAAAGACTGGGAATCCCTGACTTCTACTGATTGTCTGAACTTCCTTTCCCATTAGAAAAGCTTTCTTGGTTTGTTTATTTATTTTTTGATTTTGGCTATTCTTACCTGAAGTTGGAAACAGGGTTTAGGTTTAAGATGAACCCAGGAGAGAGCTGTGGATATACATACTTTTTGGAGATGTCTGTCTTCTAGTAACCTTTCTGATTTTCTTGTGGGGTGAAGCTGGTCTGGTCAGAGGAATTCTGGAGCCACAAGAGTTGCAGTAGAAAGGACAGCACTGAATGTATTATTTATTATGTGTAATGTGACTGCATCTTGGAGTCTACAGCCCCGTGTAGGCAAGATACCATGCAAATGCAGAAGAAAAAGATGGTCCCTTCCCTTGGGAGTTTACACTCCAGAAGCAATTTGAGTTATTTTGACCACTCTGTAAATACACCCATTTCACTCCAAGTCCCTAATTTGCCTTGTTTTCTTACCAAAGGGTTGTTCTTGAAACAAGTGCCGAACTCCCTGGTAGGAAGCTGTTACCCAGGTGCTTTTACATCTCAGTGATTTAACTTGGTGCTCTGTCCAAAATGAAAGTGATTCCTTCTCTAGATGGTGAGACAGACACAGATAAAGGCTGGGGTTTGGCTCAACTATTTCTGGCTGCCAAAAAGACAGGTGTCTAGTCTAAGCTAATTACCGAGGCTTCCTTTATAGTTGTGGAGAGCAACAGGCACCTCCAAGAGGTGCTTTGTCCTTCTCATGTCTTGGCTCTCTGTCTTGGCTTGCCTTGTCTGCTGAAGATGCCCCTCCCAGAGCCCTGGTGGGTGTCGTGAAGCAAACCCTTGCTTGGGTGGCCAGCATGGGGTGCCGTGTGCCCAGTGCTGTGCAGGGGGGCAGCGTATGGCTGCCAAAACCCCAGACAGCTCGTACCTACAAACGTTTCTCCAGGTTCCATGTTTTTTATTTATGGTTAGTTTTAATAGTGGCGGTAGTGGAATTGTCTGTGGAGGAAAAAAAAAAAAAAAAAAAAAAAAAAAAAAAAAAAAAAAAAAAAAAAGACTTGATTTCTGGTCTTCTCATCTCCCTCCCCAAACTCGCATGTATTACCTTGTAATGTCACTTATGGTTGTGAAAACACTTCTGGGCTGAATGTTGGGGTCAGAAGTGCAGGACATCGTAAATTTTTAATATATGTTTGGAGTTCAAGTGTGAAAATCTGTTATATAGATTATAAATTTTTTGAACAGGAATGTGTCTTTGAAGCATAGTGTAGGTGCTGCTCAAACCAGAATAATAACTGTGGGCTTTGGGAGCCATGAAGAAAAACAGTAATTAAGGATCTGGAGGAAGGTCCAGGGAGGGGAAGACTGGGATTGCAAGCAAGGTGCAAAAGGTGAAGATGTAATCAGCTGGTTTACCCAAGTGGCCTGTTGTGAAAAATTACAAAAAATAATCAC